CCCAAACCCTCAAACACCCAAACCCCAAATCCCCCAAACCAGGTCCCCGAGAGGTGAGCGGGGACTTCGGGGTGTCCCCGCTCATGCAGGATCCCAATCCCTGGATTTGGGGGTCGGGGACACGGGAGACCCCTGGATTTGGGGTCGGGGACACAGGAGATCCCTGGATTTGGGAGTTGGGGTCGGGGGGATGGTGACACGGGGGTCCCCCGTACCTGAGGTGGCCGTAGCCCGGGATCCCCCGCGGGTCCTTTCCCGGCTCCCAGCTGTGCCGGCGGAAAGGATCCAGGGAGCTGCGGAGGGTCCCGGATCTGCGCAGGGACACGCCGGGGATCCGCTCTTCCTCCTCCTCCTCCTCCTCATCCCAGGCCGTGCCGGACTCCAGGACGGACACGCAGCGGCGCCTCGGGAGCGGGACCCCCTCGGGGACCCCCCCGCAGGGCCTTGGGGCGATGTTGGGGGGCTCCAGGGTGCTGGGGGGCTCCAGGGTGTTGGGGGGCTCCAGGGTGCGGGGGGGCCGCTCAGGGCCGGACGCTGCGGGAAGGGGGCGTGGAGGGGTCGGGGGAGGGGACCCAGCTCAGCCCCAGATTAATTTTGGGGGGGGGTCTCAGCCGAGCTTTGCCCCCACCAGCCCCCCGGAGCAGGGGGGACATTCCCGTTCCCAGCCGGGTCCCCGAGGCGCCGGAGGGTCCCCAAACCCCCCCGGGGGGACCGGGACACTCAAACCCCCCCCTCGAGCCGAGCTCTCCTGGTTACTCATTAAACTGCCAGGAATTTGGGATGAGAGCGGCCGGGAAGGGGGATGTGGAGCGGGAATGGGAATTGGAACACGGGAATGGGAACGGGAATAGAATGGAATGGAAATGGGAATGGGAACGGGAATGGGAACTGAAATGGGAACGGGAATGGGAATGGGAATGGGAATGGGAATGGGAATGGGAATGGGAACCCCCGCTCCTGGGAGACCCCTCAAGGATGCGGCTCATCCAACTCCCCAAATTTCTCCTGAGGGGAAGGATGAACCACCCGGATCTCGGGAGAGGGGGCTCGGGGGCCTTTAGGGGGACAGGGCGGCACCTGGGATCTGGGATGGGGCCGGGAGGGGTTTGGGATGGGATCTAAGGTGTGATCTGGGCGGGTTTTGGGATGGGATCTGGGGGATTTCAGCCTGGCCATGGCGCCACTTGAGACTGGCCTGGGAACCCCGACACCCCTCCCCAAATCCCGGCACCCCTCCCAAAATCCCGGCACCCCCGAGCATCCCGAGCCGGCTGCTCCTGCCGGGACCACGCTCCCCACTCCTCGCCTCGATCCCGGTGGATCCCGGGCTGCTCCCGCTGCATCCCCCCGATCCCCGTGCCCAGCCCACGGCTCCGGTCCCACCATCCCCAAATCCCGACACCATTCCCGGGCTGACACATCCTGCCTCGGCCCTGGCCACACTCACCCCGCTGGGGACAGGGAGGGGACTGGGATGAGCTGGGATGAGCTGGGATGAGCTCAGCCGTTTTCCTGTTTTTACATTCCCAGCCCGGTCAGCTGATTATAAAAAAACCGCTTTCCTTTGTGGATCTGCCCTTGGATCTGCCGGGGATCGGCCACAAACGGGGAATAATAAATAGGGAATCATAAAAAAAATGAGGAGCGGAGCGTGGCCATCGCTCCAGGGCAGCTCCCGAGGGAAAACCGCAGCCACGGCTCTTCCCAGGAACCCGCGGGGGGATTTTGGGGCTCCCGGGCTCATCCAGACGCAGAAAAACGAGCGGGATGCGCGGGAGCTTCCCAGAATCTGTTGGGAATCTCAAGATGCGAATCCAAGCTCAGGAGTTGGCTGGGAAAGGGACGGGATCCTGCAGCGGCTCCCCCCAAATCCCAGTCCTGAGGCAACCTCCGAAATGTCGGGAGTGGCGACTCCGCTGGGTTTGGATCCCGAATTGGGATGCGGGAACAGGAATTCCCCAGCACGGGAATTTCGGGAGCTGCTCCGGCCAAATTCATCCCTGGAGTGGGATCGGCTGTCCCCAGTCCCGGGGTGAAAGGGCCCTGGGGACCCATCCCGCCCTTCCCAGGCGCTCTTTGGACCCTCCCGGGATTCCCGGAATGCGGGAATGGGGGCAGCGGCCGCCCCAGGGGCTTTCCCTGGAAGCCATCGGGGAACAACCCGCGGCCATCCCGGGATTTTGGGAGCGGCCGGGACACGGAGCCAGGAGGGGAGAGGGAGCGGCTCGAGGGCCGTGACCTCGGGGTGACCTCGGGGTGACCTCGGGGGGCCGGGGGTGTCTCCCCGTGTCCCACAGGAGCGGCCTGGGGGGGTCCCGTGTCCCACCGGAGTGACCAGGGAAGGGGTTGGGGGGTGGCCCTGGGGTGGCCACTGAGGTGACAGTGGGACCTGGGGGCTCAGGGGGGGCTCTGGGGGGGTCGGGCCATCCCCAGGTCACCCCAGGTCACCCCAGGTGACCCCGGACCTACCTGCGGGTGACTGGGGGGGGGTGAGCTCCGTGCACCCGGAAATTCCCAATTCCCGAGGTCCCGGCCCTGCGATTCCCGGTTCCCAGCCCGGAGATTCCCGATTCCCGGGGTCCCAGCCCGGCGCCCCCTCCCCCTCCTCTCCCGCACTCCAAACAAACCAGGAACCACTTGGCGAACCAGATCCTTCTCCCTGTTAACCCTTTTCCCGCAGATCCGGGGGTGCCGCTCCCATTCCCCAAATCCGGCACCGCTCCCTCTTCCCCCCTCCCCCACAGCCCTCGGCACCCCCCGATTCCCTTTCCCAGCGGTTTTTAGGGATCAGGAACAGCCCCCCCCGGGTCCCCCCCGGGGTCAAACTGCCCCTTCCTGACTCCAGGAGATCGTTCCCATGGGATTTAGGAATAATTCAGCGGTGGGGAGGGGCTGGGCACCCCCAAAGCGCCGCAGGGCAGCGTTGGGGGGGGGTGACTCCGTGCCTCAGTTTCCCTGCCCCAAAGGCAAGAATTCCTTCTCCCCCCTGGAGTATTCCCACTTTTCCATCCCGTGCCGGCAGAACACGGCATCCATGGGGCTGAATCCCAAATCCATGGGGTTGAATCCCAAATCCACGGGGCTGCCCCCCCCCATCCCCACCTTGTCCCGGTTCCGGACGGATCACACACCTTGGACAATTCCAGCACAGCCGGATCCAGGCGGGATTTCATTTCCTAGGAGAAGCCAGCATGGAAAGAGTCAATCCCGGCTGGATCGGCTCCATCCCGCTCCGGAGGCACCTGCGGGCTCTCAGCACCCCCGGGGGGAAGCAATTCCCACCTAGCAGGAATATCCGGGAGAAGGAAAAGCTCCGGGAGCGCGGAGAGCTCCCGTAGCCTCGGCTGGGGTGTCCCGGGGCGGGGAGAAACCCCCGGAAAATCCCAAATTCCCCAGCCCGGAGCCACGCGGCCCTCGGGCTCCGTGTTCCTGCTGGGTATTCCCGAGGATTTGTCCCTCTCCGGGAATGCGTTTGTTTAAACAATCGGGCGGAACGGGGACCTTTGCGCGGGATTCGGGAGGTGCCAGGAGGTGACACTGCCCCAATCCTGAGCGCTCCCGAATTTCTCCAGGGATTTCCTGGGGGGGGTGGGGGGTCTCAGGCTCCAGGGCAGGGATTGAGCCTTTCCCCAAGGTTTTGGGGTTAAAGTTTTGGCTCCGCGTTTCCTGGTTCTGTGGGTCCGCCCCGGGGCCCTCCCCGCCGTGCTTGTGTGCACAAACCTTTGGAATTAGGGTGGGATTTGGGAAGTTGGGGTTTAAGTTCCTGAACGGCGGCTGGAATGGGATCTTGGGGTCCTTTCCCAAACCCAAGCAGCGATTCCACGGCGGGACAAAAACTCCAAAGAGCCGAGCCCCCAAAATGCCGGAAAATATCCCAGGTGGAGTCAGAGACTCCCGAGGTCTTTTCCAACGTGAGCCATTCCATGATTTCCAAGGGGATTCTGGAACTGGCTCCCCCTCACCAGGGGGTCTCATCCTGCTCGCCCCCACAGCTCCACCTCCCGAAATCCAGGACCAGCATTCCTGGTGCCAGGATTTGGGATACAACAGGGACAACTCCTTTTCCCAACAAAACCTGCCCTAAATCCCAAGGAAGGAGCCACCTCCGCCCTTTACCCGTCCGAAATCCCGTGGGAGTGGCACCAGGAGCCAGATCCCGGTGGGATCATCCTTACCCCTCATCCCGGTGAGGAGATTCCCGGAGCTCCGCTCCCGTCCATTCCCAGGAAGTCCCGGATCCCACCGGCAAGTGAGGGGTGGGATCCGGGGGCGAGGAATTCCAGCCCGGGGACAAAGGGACACTGTTCCCTCTGGATCTCCAGCCACCAACACGGAATTCTTGGCTCTGGGGTGGCCCGGAGCCACCAAATATTGGGATTTTTTTGGGATTATCTCCAAACGTTCGCACCCAAATATTGGAACTTTGAGCCAGCAAAATGCAATCTTTTATTTTCCATGGAATATCCGCAATTCCAGCAGCGTCACAC